GCTTTGTGTGAATGAATGAAACAATTGGACATTTTTTTGCACACCTTCATTGTCTATTATGGCTTGTAATTGGAGACAAAGCAGCGTCGGAATTTTATATAAATAAAAAACGTATGCTGTAAGGACAAGTACAAGGTTTTATTTGTACTCCATCAGTTTTTACCCCCAGACTTATTACTTTCTTCTTTGAAACAGTGGCTGTTGTTTACTTCAGTCTTAAGTGAGGCCAGCTGTGGTCTGCCAGAGTTTCCTTTCTGCAGGCACGGCCGTAAATCTAGCTCCAGTCTTTACTAGTGGCCAAACATGTCGTCAACAATGAAAGTCTGTGGACGCCAACCAGTTGTCACTGTCTGCCTCCAAACTGTGATATTTGAAATTGCTTCCTTGTCCAATGGAATGACTCATGAAGTCCGAGTTTGTTTGTTTTTTTCCGTCTTTTGTATAAACTATTGTTTGGCAAGAATATGTTTTATTTCTGCCTTTTTCAGCAAAAAAGTAAATAAATAAATAAAATAATGCATTTTAATGCTTAGGCAGATCCACCACTGATCTATTTATTTTTAGCTCTAATACTAGTCCAACTAGTCTTATTGATTTGTAAAGAATTTCTTTTTACCAAAACACCTCAAACTTAAAATACCAATATAACACCAGCATGCATTTGTGAGGGGTCAGACGCCTGATTGCAATGGACCGTTCTCACTGCAACTGATGCAGAGGTAAAAATTAAACTCTGCATACACTGTACTGTGTTTAGAATATGTGACACCTGTAGAAGCGCTGACTAAGGATAAGGCCCTGAGAGATAGATGTATATCATGTGTTACCACCTGGTGTTATGTTACTAAAAGGCTGATTATAATTCCTGTGTACGGCGTGTCAAGTGTCTATAGTAACTTAAAACAACTTCTCTATAAACAAAAACCACACACACACACACAAACACACACCTGCATATTGGCTCTGTGTGTATGAGTCACCGAGTGTTCTGTCAACTAGAAATATTATGTTTGAGTTTGCTTTATTACTATCATATTAAGCAGACATTACCTCAATACAACTAAGGACAGAGTAATTCAGTGTGAATTATCTCCCAGTCACTACTGATCTGTAAACACATGGAAACTGGAAAATAGTACAGACAAAAAACAGGATAAAATGAAATAGAATAGTGTTTATTGTCATTGTAAAACACAGCAGTACAGATAGAATTGCTGTAGTGACTCTAACCAGAGTTGTTCAAAAGTAACAACAACTCTGACATAACTAAACACCCTAAATCGTGATACTAAGACTGAAAATATTTTAACATACAGTGAAATTAAAGTGCAGTAATGGAGCAGCAGCCATAGACAGCAGTAAAACTGAGATTCCTGTTTTTGGGTTCGCATTCTACAGTTTTTGTCTTGTTCAAAGTCACCAATGCTCTGGGAAGCAATTGAAGTCAAATTACCGCTGAAAATGATAGAGCGGTCTTCAAAATTTTGAGGATGTATTGCAGGCACTTTAGTTAGTGTATTCAAACAACACACGGTTTTCTGTGCAACACCGCCACCCTGCGGTTGGATGTACTCAGTGCCTTTGAATATATATACAGAATGTCTCATTTTTTTTTTTTTTTTTTTTACACCCCAAATTCACAAAACACTGTCTTCCCTTAGTGGACTTTAAATTGTAAAATTAAGAAATAGGACAACCCCCTACCAAAAAATAAAAAAAAATAAAAAAAGAGACAAAATTCACTGACACATCCAAGTCAGCAGAGTGAGTTATTTGTTGATTCACAGCTAGTTCAAAACAGTCACTCGAGGTGCTCGTCTAAAAAAAACTCCCTTATTAGTGCTAATAATAAGGGAAAAACATGATTTTAATTGCGATTTTTAATTGAGAGTTCTTCCTTAAGTAAACAGTACACTGCATATATTTAACCTAAACTACTACTTTTAATATAACATGAACAATCGAATACAAATTAATAGTTTAAAGAGAACACACTACACTGCGTCATATGACAGCTTTCAAATAAAATATCTTCAAATAAGGTAAACATACATATTTGCTGTGTAATAGAACATGTAATAAATACGTTTAAGAGAATAAGAACAGATTATAGTCAAAATGGTTAACGATCTAAGCTCAGTAGCGAAATGTTAAATGTACTTTACGTTACGTGGGCACAAGGTACAGGAGCCTGGCAGGTTGTACAGGCGTAGCTGCGCACCCATAAGGAATATATATTCAGACTTTCTGTATATATATTTAGGATTTTTGTATATATATTTAGGATTTTTGTATATATATTTAGGATTTTTGTATATATATATATATAGACTTTTTCTATATATTCAAAGATTAATTTCCTGAACGGCATGCCATAATATATATATATCGTTTTTTTGAAGAAAGTTTATCCAGGAGGAATAATTAATAATTTAGTTGTAGTCGACAAGTATACACGCCTTTTTCCTTTTGTGTTTATAAATGTCTGTGCGTGTTGCCTGTAAAGGTTTACGTGTAACTTGTGTAATTTGCCATTGAAGTGTCTGAGGCAGATAAGCATCATTCCGGCTCCTTTGTTTGTTTGTTTTTTTTTTCTCTGTGCTGTTTATAGTTAGCGTGGTACTATGTGTGGTTGTGTGTGTGTGTGTGTGTGTGTGTGTATGTGTGTTTGTGTTGGTGACGGGGTCTGTTGCCTAGCATGTTTTTACAGCTGCTTCTGCTGATTCCAGCCTGCAGATAAAACACCATGATCTCATGATTTCCACGGCTACTGCACCGATACACATCACAGACACACACTCACACATGAATGCAAACACAGAGTCCTTTGCAAGAGGCATTTTGACCATATATGGCTCACCTTGACTCACTCCCATTAGCAAACCTCTAAATTCCTTCGCTGTCTGTCCTTGAAGATGCTTGTGAGACACACACCCTCAAGTAGCTACAGGGGCACTTCTGTGTTTAACACTATGTTATTGGAATAAAAATGTCCTTCCTGGCATTGGGGGAAAATATATGTGGCATTTAAAGTAATATTGTAAAACCTGTTGTAATATTTATACATGCATGCATTAGCCTTTTCCTACTTGATCTATCCTGCTCTCTTTTTCTTTTTTCACCTCTGCAATTGATCCATCATTCTTCCAGTCCATATGATAGATTTGTTCACACACCCCAGAGTCCCTCTGACACACTAACACTTCCGATGACATCTTTCTTGACACATTCCCAGATATTTATGGCCCTGCTATGTAGAATTTTGTGAATTGGGCTGGTCCAAAGGCAGGACTGATAGGAATAAATGTGGCCTTTGCCCCTGATACCTGGTACATACTGTATTTACTACATACCATAAATTGAACACGGACATTGTTCTGCTACAGCCATTCATTATTGATGACAGCATTCAAGCAAGACAGTTATGAGCTGAGCTGTTAGGATCAGTAATTTACTCTGTCAAGGAAAAAAAAGGGTTAGGGTGATCAGGAAAAGGCCGAGGAGAGAGGAGGTTTGGAAGAAAGAAGGAAAAAAATTTGAAAAAATGGGAAAGACCAGATTGAGGCTGGAGTGGTCCAGGAGGGAGAAGAGGAGCTTTTTTAGACAAAGCATTTATTCATGGGCGAAATTCCTTCCATGGTTCTCCTTTACTCCACTTCATCCACCATTTTACTGGCTATCAGGTTTTTCAGGCCGATCAATAATTTAAAGCTGTCACTTTAGAGTGGTGAACCTCCCAGCTCTGAATGACAGATGAGGGATGAGAAAGGATGTGGGGCCACTATGAAAAGCAGGAAGGCAATATAGAGGTGCAAAACCATAGGGTGACAAGAAATATGCCATAAAAAGGGTGGAGGGAGAGCAACAAGAGGGAAATGAGAACGACAGACACATGACTCCAGGTTGGGTGAAAGGTCTGCAACCGGTCACAGGTTTAGGAGACATTTTTATCATCTTACCAGCAATGAACTTCACCAAAGCTGCATTCACATTTGAACCATTTGAACGATGGCAGTGCTGCAGTGTTGTTGTTAAATATGTTGCACCACAGAAACCACCTAAATTAAGTAGTTCTACATGCAGGCAGTAATTGATTCCATCAGACTATAATTCAGTATATACATACAGTTAAAGAAGACGGTGCCATTATATTATTTTGCAATTTTAGTTTGATGTGTAAAATTGGTTGAAACTTGATTTTTGTTTATTTATTTATTTTAAAACACAGATTGATCTGGTGAATTCACAAATATTAAATATGATCCACATGTGTCTCAGGAGCCGTAAGTTGCTCAGCAATACCACATGGAAACCTAGTTTTTACATTTTCTTGTTATGTGTATGTAGAGTTTGAACAGTTAGTGTTGTTTTAAATGCATGTCCACAACATTTAAATAGCTAAAATCACAATTTGTTTCATGATTATGTGTTGTGAACAACTTGCTTATAAATATAATTACTGTTTCTACTAGGACTCTACACCATTACACTTAATTAGGTTTGGTAATTAGGTTTAACATGAAATGCATTGTTGAACCAAACATCTACCACTAGTCCATGACCAGGAGGGCTCTGGTGAATCATTGTAGGTAAACCTTAAATCTTGCACTAAAGAAACTGCTGCTGAATGTCTATTAGAAAGGACAGCTATAATAATAACATAAATAACTAAAAAGTAATAGAAAATCATGATTATGTGAACTTTGTGTTCTTGTTTGTGCGCATTTGTCTGCACCTACAGGAGACACATTTTCTATGAAGACACGTGGCATTTCATCTGACGGATAGATCATATTATATGAATTTCATATTATATGTATTTATATATGTATTAAAACAAGTATCTATGTATATATAAATATATGTAATTGTAGATGTGTGGAGTGTTGATTTTATTTTGGGATGTGTTGTTTTTTATTATTGTTTTGATCGACCCTTGTGATGTCTGAGGAGCAGTAGTGGCCACAGATTTAACTTTATCTATCTCCTTGTTTCCACAGTGAGAGATGATGATGATTTCTTGAGCCTAAGTGAGCTCCCAGAGACCTTTCCTTCAGATCCGCCTGAGCCTCTACCTCATTTCCTGTTTGAACCAGAGGAGGGCTACATCATCAAGAACAAGCCTGTCAATCTCTACTGCAAAGCTACACCTGCCACACAGATTTACTTCAAGTGCAACAGTGAGTGGGTCCATCAGAAGGACCACACGGTGGAGGAGAGGGTGGATGAAAACTCAGGTAAGTGACGGCTGGATAAAGATCTGCTGTCACACAAAATACATGCACAGATACAAACAGTTAACAAAACAAAATATGTATATGCTACATGGAGTATATGGAAACAGATGCAAGTGTTGTGTTAACATAAAATCAATAGGTAATATAAAGAGCAAAATACTAAAAGTTGTATTCACTGAAAGTGTTGAACACTACTCCTACTACTACTGCTACTATTACAAAAAATAATAATATGCTGCTAATAAGTGTATAAGTGTAATTTCTTACTAGAAATTACACTTGGTCACTAGGTATTGCCTCCTTAATAAAAAAGATAAATGAAAAAAAACAAAAACAAATATAAACAAAAAATCCCTCTATACTTTGTCCCTAAGGAAAGAAACCCTGCTCAGCTCACATGTGGCCAGAAGAAAACCTAGGAAAATGATAAATAATTTGTGCAGGTTTTATATACTGTGTGTAATAAAAGCTGTGTATCTAAATATGTATTTGTATGTAATGACCCTGTCTGTGAAATAGCAAATGTAACAGATGTCACTTTTTTTATATAATAACAGATTACCATATGCTTATTTTAGTTTAGCCTTATGACATTCATCAGATGTATAGTATTTCTGCTGTCTTTAGACAAATGCTCTGTCATAACGAGGTGTTTTCAGCCATTGGGTTATTAGTGCTGGCAGCTGGGCCACATGTCAGATGTACTGTATGTACACAGCTACTGTATCTCCTTGCCAGAGCTGAACAGTGCACTGTTCATAGGGGTAGTTTAATAGGATTCACAGTGATGCACTGGACCTCAGCCAGAGTTCCACCGTTGTCACTGGAGAGCATCTGGTACTGTTCTGCTAGCTCGGTGATAATTAATCACTCTGTTTCTCTGACACAGACGAGCACAAGCCAGTTTTTCTTAGACATGACTTGACTGATCAACCGCTTGCTTTACAGTTGTTGTTGGACTAAAAATTTGCAAATAATACATAGAAACATAGAATCAACTGGTCAATAAACTGGTTTATAAGGTCTCTATAAGACCTTATAAACTGGACTGTCAGAATAATAATTGATTTTCACATGTATAGTTTATATATATATATATATATATATAGCATTGACTACATGTAGTAGTAGCATCAAACATACTGTCGATTGGCCATTTCTCAAAATGAATGCTTGTGTTTATCCCTAAAACGGCCAGTGTTGTATGTAGTTACATATGAGAATCCATTATTAGGGTCCATTCAGTTTCCCTCTCTCTGTTCACTTCCCCTGCATTTTGACCCAAATACCCTGCTACCTGTGTGTTCATTACAGACATAATGTGCAGCTGTGAGTCATTTATTATCCTTCCATCTCTCGTTCATTTGCGAGCTGCAGGATTCCAGACTATGTGTTACTGAGAAGAAAAATCTGTTTAATTATGATATCTGGATTTAGGGACGTCCTAAATCATTCGTGGTGTTCGTGCGACAGACACCATGAGGTCTTAAGAGGATCACAATTACCCTGTTAGGCTGATACCAAGTACGATGATCTGGGTTAGTTTGAGGTGTAATTAAAAGGAGAGATTCACAGTCAGTCCTCGGTGTCTCATTTTTCCAAATACTATTTTTTTGGAGTTCTCATTTCTAATTATGTCTGTTTATTTATAAAACACATGGACCTAGCTAATACACTTTTTGATTTAATGTTCTGTAAACACATTAACTTTCTTTGTAACAGAGCGTTTTCTTCAAGCATTTTCCCAACCTTTATTGGACTACAGACCATATTTTACTTTAAAATCCAAGAGCTCACCACAAAACAACAATATGTCTAAAAGTGTAATGAAATACAATATCGTCTAATTTTAATTTAGTTACAATTTAATTACTCAGTGTAAAACCGGGCCATATTTAGTCTAGACCAACATTGACATGCGCAGGAATTGAAGAAAGACACAACAATTGTTCAATTTAATTTTTGTGTCACTTTTGCATAGACAAACAAAAACTAATTATTTGCAGTAAATATACTATAGTTTTCAGACCAATTAAAGACAGGTTTTTGAACATTAAGAAAATTAAACCTTCTCTGGTGATTATTCCCTGAAAATCTTTCATACTCCCTAGCTCTACATATATTCTACAAGGCTACTAATTCCAAATAAGGTATGAATGTTACATTTTCCAACATACTTTGACAGAGTGAATGGAGAATCACGTACTGTAAAGTTATAATAAACAGTGTATATATGTTTGTTTGTTTGTATGACAGCCTAAACTCTGTAAGGTGTTTTCCTCCTCTTTTTTTCCTGGTGCCTCCCCTACCCCTGTTTTTATTATCTCTGTCTTCTCACTCACTGCTGTTTGCTGCTTAGAGATGATTTCCACTAGCCTTATTGTGATGATGTAGGGGCAGATAAAAAGTTGAGCCTGAGAAGAGGTGCAGGCTAGCAACGGAGAAGCAATGTGGGATGCGGAGGGGAGAGGGGGGGATTATTCTGGTACCTTCTGCAGCATTTTCTTTGACTTCATAGCTTACTTGAACTTCTTCCAAAATGTGTTTTACTACTGTGTTCTTCATAAAAAATAACAACCAAAAACACAAAGCTGGTTTAACTTTGAACAGTCTTTCCTTTCACATTGATATCCAGAGATTCCACACAAGTTCCATGGGAACGATACTGCACAGAAATGACGTCGAGAAATTCCTATCATTTTAAAGGTAGAACAATAGCTATCTAAATCAGCGGTCCCCAACCGTTTTTGTACCAAGGACCGGTCAGCCGGTATCAGCAATAACTGTGGACCAGTAATACCATGCCATCATTGAAGGATTATTCAATTTTCATCTTTTAGACCAGAGTAGGTAGATAGGGATCTACCAGTAGTTCACAAAGGGAGTGCTGGTAGAATATGAGCAATTAAAATAAGAAATATGAATATATAATAAAAAAAGATAAAATATAATTCTGTGATATATACAGTAGTACTAACCATATGTTGTAAAAATAGAATCATATTGTTCCAAAGAGCTACTGTACATGCATGGTTTTCAATGTAGGTAAATCATGTGATTAGTAACTCCCAAGTCAAAAAAGTGTGGACACCCCTGTTTTAGACATTATTCTGTCAGTATCAGAGTCTGAATGACCTATTGTTTTGAAACACTGTCAGTTTATCATTGAATGAAAAAGGTAAAAGAATATGACTGGTTTCTTTTGAATGAAGTAAATTTGTAAAACTGAAGTACTTTTTTTTCACTGTGTCCCACTGCGGCCTGGAACCTAATGATTTATGGACTGGCATCGGCCCCCAGAACAGGGGTTTGGGACGCCTGAACTAAATGATGTGGACTTTGCCACACTTTTAGCAGTAACTCACACCGAACTGCGGACCTGTTTCTGGTCTGAGTAAACCAGTTAAGGTCACATACAAGGATCAGGGGTTCAGGTGCTGAAAGGAGGCAGAAGAAGAGGTCACTGAGGTCCCAGTCCACCTGGGAAGAACCGAAACGATTCCCAAAGAACTCCTGCAGCTGATGCGGCAGATACCAGAATCCAACTCCGTCTGCAACCTTCACACTCTTATCTAGTCACTGCAGATTATCATCAAGACATCATAATATAATTACTTTGTTTACCTAGACAAGATCGTACACAGCTAATTGGCTCATGCATTGTAGCATCTCTCAGCACCCCCCATGTCTGTCGGCCACTGTGTCGTTCACTTCGCTCTGCGTCGCCATTACACAACTCTACTGTGAGAGAAAGGGTAATACGGTTTAGGGAGGGTTGATAACAGTGTGGGGGAGGTTCGTAAAGGCTAAATATATACGTAAATAACACCAATATACACCTTCCACTGAGGTGTATATTGTCTGACCTTACATGTTTGTTTTTTGTCTTTGTGTTCCTCTGTGGCACATGATGAAATAATAATAATGCACAGTGTTGACTTTTTTTCTGTATCCTGTCTCCCCTTTTTCCCAAAGGCTCTTCTCTTTGACCTGTAGCTGATTGCATTTAAACGCCACAAAGCAGAGCGCTTTTATCTTTACTCCCTTATCTCTTTTATTTCAAAACCATTTTGCTTCAAAAGCCCCTGTCTTTGTTTTCAAAAACTGTCACTGGCCTTCTTCCAAACGTAAACTGCCTTTTTAGCATTTTGGTTGGGCCACAGTTCAGGATTAAACATAAGGGAGTGAATGACAACTTTTCCTTCGGTTACTGACACAAAACTTTGGATTAAAAACACTATATTACAAACTTTACACTCAAATTCAGGACCTGCATTTAAACTTACTATTGAGAAAAGATGCCTGTCTTAAATGATTGTTTGTAGATATGTTATGCAGTTTAGTGTAGAGTTTTACTTTTTATTGTCAACATCTCATTTAATACTTTATTTCAGACCAACCTCAATCTTAACTGAGATGGCAACAATGGCCCATCTCGTATGGTCTTATTTAAATTAAATGGTATTTTAACATATATTCATATATTCTGTTTTGAAATATACAACTACCAGATCATATACAAGTACCATTTTTATTGTGAGTCAGAATGATCCCCAAATCATCCTAAGGGTTCCACCAATCTCTTACTAGCAGTCTTTCTTAGGTTTTCCCTCAATGTTTATTTTCATCTAATTGCTTTGTACAATTTAAAAATATTCCTAAATTTAGTATTATGCCCCTGTTTCAGGTTGGTGGGCATCAACAGCCTGGTGATGATTTGTTTATGCTCTGATGGATTGGAAGGTGACCTCCAAAACATTGATCTTATCGCTTTTCATCAGACATCCATTCATCCATCCATCCATCCATTTTCATCTGCTTATCGGTTACCGGGTCACGGGGGCAGCAGTCTCCACAACCGCCACCCAAATCACATTGCACCGTACCTACACCCCCTAAACCTTCCTGCGGGTGGTGAGTCCACTGGAAGGTCTTTTCATGAGACATAGTCCACAGTTTTAACTTCCAGAGTGTTCCACTCTGTAAATGCTCACCGTTTGTCTTTTATATGGCAAATACAAGTAGGCCATGTCTTTAATGGCAAACAAAATTGTCGACCATGGTATTTGTGGTCCTTTTGTATGTACAAAAAGCACATATTCTTCTGATGACCTGCAAACTCTGGTATATAAAGTAACACTGTTGAATTGACAACTTCTCAAACCCATACTTCATTGTTCTGATTGATCAAAGTGTATTTGGCAGCAACACTTCAATATAAAACAGTTCTTCAATTTTTAATCCACTTCTTTTCCCCTCACTCCCTGACTTTTTTGATTTGCAGTACAAATTTAAAAAAAATTCTATGCTTGTCTGCTCATAGTAGGGCAACCTGTATTCTCTGTGTAAACAAAATGAGAAAGTGACGTGGGAGCTTTGTGAAATATGGCCACTTTCTACACAACAAAGTTCTCCATGTGATCTTTACATTAGAAAAACAAACCTCACTGTGGCCTCACTGGTTTAACATCACGTCAGTGCTTTTTCTATTGTGTGCTTTCAGGGAGAATTACTTCTTTTTTTTATTTCACATCCAAAATCATTATTTGTTTCACATTTGTGGAAACAAAACATTTTCATATACTCCCTAGCTAAAGCACACATGAAAATGAAGACTCAAATCCATTATTTTTATCCTGTATTTGTTCATAGTGGAAATTAGGCTTTTGAGCGTTTGAACTGTTGGACCAGTATCACAGTGGAGCATCTTCTCAGGCTAACTCTGACATTGAATAATACATCTTTTACATCATTACTCTAAGCTGCTGTAAAACTATCCAGGTTTGTTCAGCTGGAGGAGGTCGCGTTCTGCACATACTGTATAAAAGCATCAACAATTGCGCACACGAATAATACATACATACATACTGCTTTCATAATCCACTGAATAGAGTGTTGGGTTTTATTAGTACATGCTTTACAGAAGGACACGCATCCCTTGGCAGGTCAGCTGACCCGAATTGCTGAGATCACACCAGTTTGTCTTCTCTAGTCCTTTTGCTGCTCATTTAAAGTAACTGTCATCGCAATATTGTAATTTAACTGGATCTAATTATTACCTGGTTGTAATATAGTGTTCAGACATTAACTGCAGTTGTCAAGAGTTGTCTGATTTATCACAGAATAGCTGTGAATTAATCACAATTAATCATTATGGTAATTAATTAATCATGATTAATTGAGGCTTATCAACATTCCTAATTGACTATTTTCTTTACATTGTTATTGTTATTGTTATTATTGTCATTGTTTTGAGCCTGATAACTGAATATTTAAGTTTACGTGTTCATTTTGACCTAGTCTTGATAATTATTAATTACTATAAATTATGATTTTGTGTCGGGAGTATCTGTTGGTCTCATCCTGTAGTGATATTGAAATACAAAGTATCAATATTTGTTTGTTTTATTCTGGCTCTGTAGTTCTACTGTAATCATAGTCCCTGATGTTAAAAAAGACTGCAGGTGGAGTTGCTGCAACAGAGGAAATCTCATTAGCATCCCATTTGGATTTTAATCACGTACTCTATGGTATAACTTAATTAGAAATAATTGCCCAAGTTTTGGTCCCCTTAATAATTTGAGAAACACTAACAATAATATAAAACTCTATGTAGAAGTAGAAGAATACTATGTCCTTTTACATTTTTACACCATAAGCTGGAAAACTCAATAAATATTTTTTAAGGAAAAGGTTTCAGTTCAAAGGTGTGGAGCCCCTAACAGTTCAGTTATTTTTAATTCATCTTACATTTTTTGCAAATCTCTTTTTTTAGTCCTAATGTGCATTGTTCCTGCTTGGTGTTTATCTGTTTCCATGTTATTTTTTGGCTAACATAGTGTGAAGTTTGCTAATGTGTAGTGCTGACAGTTTTTACATATTAATGGTACCTGGATTTTTATTTTATTTTTTTTAATGTTTTGCACATTTGCAAAATTTGCAAAATATATGTATCAGGTTATTTACAGTTGGTGTGTCCTGTATTAAATATTTAGCTGAATACTGAATAGTTACACAATTTACATACGAGTATTTAGCTAATATGTAGCCACCCGTGTTCTAATGCACTGGTTCACAACTTTTTTTTGAATTGTTTGGCTTTATTCTGTTAGTATCAGAGTCTGAATGACCCGTTGGTTTGAAACATTGTCAGATTATCTTTGAATGAAAAAAGTAAAGGGATATGACTGGATTCTTTTTGAATGAAGTAAATTAGTGGTACCAAATGACCTATGGTCCGACACAAGTCCCCGGACTGGGGGTTGTAGGGTTTCAGTTTAACTAGATGTGTGTGATAAAAAAACAAGGTTCAACGATTTATCTTTGTACGAGTTGTTCATTGATATGTTGAGAGATGAAATAAAAGTCATTTTTATATTTTTCAGTCCCCTCACTTCCTGTGCCTGTGCTCCTTTGCAGACCTCTCAGTAGGACAGAGCTATTTACACTTCTTTTTCTTGTGTAGTTGTGCCAATGAGAATAGATAAAGTTAGAACTATAAAGCAGATGAAATAAAGGTTGAATTAAACCAAATATCATGGTTTATTTAAGGTCTGCAGGGAATTTCCTGAACAAAATGACCAGGACTGAAAAACTATTTTGTGATTCGGCCTCAGTTTACTTGTGGAGAAGTTAACTGTGCACCACATTAACTCGTTTGGCTAATACACAGCATATCTTTGTTACTGAGGCTTTTAGTTGCCCCGCTAAAACAACTATAAATGACTTGTTTTAGTGTGTTTACCTGAAACTTTGTTGGTTTTCATTTGAACTCCAACTAATATAACTTTTATTTCTGTAGGACTCGTGGTACGTGAAGCCAGTATAGAGATAACACGGCAGCAAGTGGAAGAGCTCTTTGGACCCGAAGATTACTGGTGCCAGTGTGTGGCATGGAGCTCAGCTGGAACCACCAAGAGTCGCAAGTCACATGTGCGCATTGCATGTAAGTGCAACATGACACAAATATATATATATACATGTGTATATACGGTATTAATGGTTTTCAACATGTTCTGCCTTATGATCGAATTTTGGCATCACAAATTTTCAGTCACACAGATACTTTTTTTTCTGGACTTTTTTTTGATCATGTTAGTTATACTGTATTGTAAATACAGAGTAGCCATATTAGTGCACAAAGTACTCAAAGGTACTCAAGTAGCTGTCACTTGTGAGGTCACATGATCGCAACCGTCATATAGGATACGTCACCTCAGATATTTTTATATCCTGAATATTATTTGAACTCGATTTATATTCATGAAAGTGAAACAATACAGTTCTTTGGGATTTTGTGGGGTGTTTTGTGTGGTGTCATAATTTTGAAAAGAATCATAATTAGATGAAAAAATGTTAAATACTGTATTGAACAATAGCAGTATTTTTCATAAATTAGACAGAAAGATATACTTTATTCAGCCCATGCTGGGAAATTACAGAATTACAGGTGACCCCACATGGGTTCACAACCCCTACATTTAAAATATTCAAGTTTTGAAGGTCAGAAGTTAATGCTCACATTCAGAAATTCAGATTTAGGTTGATAAAAAAAAGATAATTTTGCACATTAACATTATCAAATATTAAAATGGAATATGTAATAAATATATTCTACATAATACTTTTACCATACTATTTTTTATTTCTGCAGTGAGTTTTATTATCTTATTTTGAAGCCTAGTGAAATGTACACATTGTGTACACATGTACACAACAAACAACTTGTTTTTCCCCAAATGATGGATAAATGATGGAGAAACATTGCTTTATTACTTCCTGTTGCAGTCTGCTGAAGAACCTAATTAGACAACTGGGAGTCTCACTGTAAGTTCAATGAAGGAACACAGGACAGAACTGAATCCAAAGAGCCCTGGCTTTCATTTCAGCAGTGATCACATGGAGGGATAGTTTTTAAGATTGATAGAAAATTCAGCAACAGGAGTTAAGAGGTCAATAACCTGAACACCCTCTGACCACACTTTGGAGACACTGCAGCCAGGGAGTGAACATTTTTTCTTATAATGAAACACCTAAACTGCCAGTGGCTGTTCTTTTATTGTGAGTATCATATGAGCAAATGTTTTCTCTTGTCAAACCATCTTTACAAACTTGAGTACTGAGCCCACAGCAGTACTTTTTTCCAAGTATCATTGCTCTGGTCAATTCAACTGTGTGAGGCAACTGGGATTTGCCCGATTGTGGGGTTACAGATGGGTCAAGCAGAAGAGAAATACTGTACCAATAACAAACCGTCTCCGCCTCTTTGCTCTGCTTATGACTGTGTGCCTCTGCCTTGGTGGACTGTTAACAGGACAACTGGGGACTGTGGTGGAGTCCATTCAACACACACTCCACAAACTACACATGTCATCGCTGCAATATTTTAACAGATGATATCATTCTAACAGACGCTCTGGAAAAGTTCTTTTCCCAGGCTACTCTTTATTCCTGCGGAAGGAAATCCATCAGGTTGATCCTCGTTTTTCACCACAGTGTATACTAAAGATGTAAACTTCTTTTTCTTTCAGCTTGCAGTTCTGGCTGCAATACCACTGCTAACCAGCAGAGGCTGGCAGGGGACTCATATCTAGGATCCTAAAAAATTATCATTCAAATCCATGTCATTTTTGGTAATTGGCTCAATCTACTTCTTGCAATGTCTTCTGCTTTTTCTTTCGCATTGTCCATTGTTCAGGGGTTGCCACAGTGAATCATTGTTTTCCATTTTACCCTTTTCTCTGTATCTTCTCCTCTGACTCCAACTATCTGCATGTCCTCCCTCACTGCATCCATATATCTCCTCTTTGGCCTTCCTCTTTGTCTCCTACCTGGTAGCTCCATCTCTAACATTCTTCTACCAATGTATCCACTGTCCCTCCTCTGCACATGTCCAAACCATCTCAATCTGGCTTCTCTAGCCTTTTCTCCAAACCTTCCTGTCTGTGTTGTCCCTCTAATGACCTCATTCCTGATCCTGTCCATTCTTGTCACTCCTAAAGAGAATCTTAGCATCTTTAACTCTGCCACCTCCAGCTCCTCCTCCTGTTTTCTGCCTATTGCAACTGTCTCTAAACCATACATCATGGCTGGTCTCACCACTGACCTGTAAACCTTTCCCTTTACCTTAGCTGATACCCTTCTATAACAGATCACTTCTGACTTTTCTCCAGCTGTTCCATCCTGCCTGTACTCTATTCTTCACCTCTCTTCCACAGTCTCCGCTGCTCTGAACAGTTGATCCTAAGTACCTAAACTCCTGCACCTTCACCACCTCTGCTCCTTGTAGCCTCACTATTTCACTGTTCTGCCTTTCGTTTACACACATGTACTCTGTCTTGCTGCGGCTGACCTTCATTCCTCTTCTTTCAAGTGCAAACCTCCACCTCTCTAGGTTCTCTTCTAGCTGCTGCCTACTCTCACTACAGATCACAATGTCATCTGCAAACATCATAGTCCATGGGGACTCCTGTCTGACCTCATCTGTCAATCTCTCCATCACCACAGCAAACAAGAAGGGACTCAGGGCCGATCCTTGATGTAGTCCCACCTCCACCTTGAAGTCTTCTGTCCTCTCAACAGCACACCTCACTACTGTTGTACTATTCTCATACATGTCCTGCACCAAACTAACATACTTCTCTGCCACACCTGACTTCCTCATACAAAACCACAATTCCTCCCTTGGCACTTTGTCATATGCCTTTTCTAGATCTACAAATACACAATGCAGCTCCTTCTGACCTTCCCTGTACTTCTCCATCAACATCCTCAAGGCAAATATTGCATCTGTGGTACTCTTCCTAGGCATGAAACCATACTGTTGTTCACAAATCTCCAAAGTATAACAATAATAAATATACTGTTTGTGCCATGTCCTATTGTAGCAGCTATAGTATTCGAATAAACAAATGCACTCTTTTGCAGGATTAAACAAAGGTGTTTATCCTGGGGACCTGCATGGCTTAGTCACACTTTACCAAAGCCTGGAAACAGCAATGCCATTCGACTGCTACAGGTAATAGAAGCCAGCTAATAATCACAACTGTTTAGACTGTCACACAATCCCTTACCTTTGAACTAATCTTAAAAGCACTAGCCATTGATATGAATGGTTGACAGTTAAGCTAATTACAGAGCCATCAATAACACAGAAATCACAGTTTTACCCCAGTTGGTGTAATACTCCTCCATGCCACTCTGACACTGATGTAGTTCTAAGGCGCTGCAGCATCGTTCTACCTCTGTACCTCAGCATAGACCTACCTCATGCAGGGTAAATGCAGTTAGGTACTTAAATGCTGATTGTCCCTACATGAAGTCAAAACACGACCTCACGTGATTTCTGGAGTTTCAGGTTGTTTCAGCTGCAGCCAAAATGAAAGCAACCGAAGGCATGTAGTGGGAACCCATCATTCAGCAACCCGTGTTCATCATCCTGTATTCTTTATGTTTCCAGCAGGACAGATGTGAACCCTGTTTCGGGTCCATTGATCTGCCCAGAGGACATACCTAGCACCTTCCAATCATCTGGGAATTCCTCAACACACCCTAAGACTGCCCTTACTTCCTTCCTGAAGTCTTCACATTTCTCTTTCCTTAATTTCCACCATTTGATCTGTTCTGTCTTCACTCTCTTCTTTTTTGTCACCTCCATCGTCATTTTTGCACACTACCACGCAATGTTGTTTGGCTACACTCTCGTCTGCCACCACCTTACAGTCTCTAATCTCCCTCAGATTACCTCTTCTACATAGAATATAATTTATCTGTGTGAACCTGTCTCCAGTCTTGTACATCACCTTGTGTTCCTCTTTCTTTTGGAAATAGGTGTTTACCACAGCCATTTCCATTCTCTTTGCAAAATCTGCCACTGCCTGTCCTTCCAAGTTTCTCTCTCCTAACACCAAACCTACCTATCACTTTCTCATCTCCTCTGTTCCCTTCCCCCACATGATCATTTAGGTCTGCTCCAATCACCACTCTCTCTCCCCTGCGGATACCCTCTATCATCCAATCCAGCTCCTCCTTTCTAGCTCCTTCCAGAACTTCTCCTTTTCTTCCAACTCACAGCCGACCTGGGGGACATAACCACTAACAACATTAATCATCTCTCCTTCTACTTCTACCTTCACACACATCAACCTGTCTGACTCTCATTCTTTGATTTGGCAAAGGTTTTACACCGGATGCCCTTCCTGATGCAACCCTCACCATTTATCCAGGCTTGGGACCGGCACTATAAAACATTGATTCATGTACCCTAGTGGCTTGTTTATTTTTATTTATTTATTTATTTATTAGAGGATGTTTACATCTATTTTATAGATGTAAACATCCTCTACTATTGTTTTATTTCCATTATTTATTCACACACAGGCCTCTAATTTATCAATTTTTAATTATTTTATCATAAAATATACATAATCTAAGAGTGAAAACCAAACCGCTAGTCAACTCTGCATTGCCTCACAATATGAGGATATTTTCCCGTCTCTTAGCAGCATAATGGAGTCTGAAATATTTCTAGGCTCCGTAGATAACATTTTAGGCTTGGATGGACCTTCCTCCGGGTGCAATGAAAGCTGAGTAATGTGATTTTTTTTGGCAGAGGTTCTACCTAATACCTGCTGAGCACAGATTCAGGTAAGTGTGTTTTTACAGGCCTCTGAAATTCTCTGAGGCAAACTTAAATGTAGCTCCAAATTGCAAAGAAATGCACAGAGAGCATTGAAGGCCCTCATTGTTCAACCACATACCTGTTTGACATATGAAGACATGGTTGTCAGGATGTAAAGATAAGTGCATGAACGGACCTGCTACTGTACGCTTCTTATCTGTTCCCTTGTCTGCTCTCTGCTGATCTAGTGATGCATTGGAGATTTGTACATTTAGGAAAAGTTATACGAGACACCTGTAAATGAATCCCAGTTACAGTAATAGCAG